TCTTATATACATTTTAATTTTCAAGAATGTAGACACCGAAATTTTAACGTTTACACCTAAAATCCAACGTTTACGTGAAAATTTGGGTGTATATGTTGTACTTCAGATTAACGCTTGCGTCAAATGTCGCTTTGGCCCGAGTGAGGGTTAGAGTTAGAGTCAGGATTAGGCTGTAGAATAGCTAATCTTTTAATTCTGGTCAAATAAGCATTATGCTGCTGACATCTGACGCAAGTGTTAAATCTGAGGCACAACATATACACCATAAAATTAACGTACACACCGAAAAGTCTTAAGGCGTAAACACGTATACGCGAATTTTTCGGTGTTTACGTGATTCATGCATCTAAGCCACTAAGCCACCTTCAATCTCATAATAGAATAAGCGATTAAATATTTACAAATAGAATAAAGTCGATTACTGCTATGAAAATGGAATTGTACTAAATTACATATATATTTAGAAGAAAAAGAAGGAAATTTTATTCTATTGGATTATATTATTGATTAACCGCTAATTTCATCCATAGCACTATTAATTTAATAACTATCACTAATCTTTTCACTAGGTTTTTCATTAATTTTTATATGAACATCGATTTCATCCTTTGAATCAAGAGTAACATCAATATTATCTTCAATTTCATCTCGTTTTAAAAATTTAGTATGGCATTCCTTTACATTATCCAAGAGCTTTCTTAGCTTCTCAATTTGTTTTTTTGTAATGGTGATCTTGTCGTCAAGTTCTGCATCAACATCATGCAATCTATTTTTATAATTATTCAAGATAATAATCAACCTATTTAATCCATAACCCGATCTATATAGCATGTCCAAAATTTCTTCAGCTTGCTCTAAATGCTTTTTAGCATTCTCAACATCGATAATTAATTCTTCATTTGGGAACGGTTGCGGATAATTACCATTTGACTTTGACCGATATTCATTATTACGTGTTCCAAGTCTTACAAATTTTTCAGCTTCAATTTTAATTCCACGAAACAATCCTTTTTCAGTCAGATCTCTAATCGAATCTGCAACTCTAACTGCTCTGACAGCATCCGTAACTTTTGATTTAAATGCGTCAACAACTTGCATCATGTCTTTAATTCGTTCTTTAAAGAATGCAGATTCATCTTTGAAGAATATTTGTCCGAATATATTTGGTTTTAATTTTTCGAGGATTTGATTTATTTCTCTATCTAAAATCCAAAATACCAAGTCACCTTGACGATACATATCTTCAAATGCTTGTCCAGCTTCCATTATTTGAGTACTGTAATGACGAAGATATGATGCGATGGTGGCGCCATTATTTTTAAAACCAGGACTGGTTTCGAGAATATTGGCTAAACGTTTATATAAAACTGTTCCTTTCATAATTGTATCTGATGCTTATTAAAATAAGTATAAATATATATGTTAAGTTATGATCATTATATCCAGAAAATTTTTCGAAAAAGTTCAACATAAGCTTGTAAGCAGTGTTTAAAATTTCAAAAAAATCATTTTGTGATTCTTAATATAAGGAAAGGAAATTTTAATATAAAAAAAAAAACAATTTGTCTAATGTTTTCAAATAGAGAACGTCTTTTAACAATTCATGTTCATGAAAATTATTAAGTGCTTTCTGAGAATACTGAGAATACTGAAAGCATTAAATTTTAAACACTGCTTGTAAAACTTGCGCAAACAGATCTTTCTACGAAAAATTTTTTTTATCATGCATAAAATGATTTTAATCAATAAAATATGTATTATTACCAGGCAAATCACTAATCTTGTCAAGATCTTGCATTAAAGTGACAGTTGAGTTCGTAAATACTTCCAAGAAAGGACGTTGCATCTAATATTTAAAACCAACAATTTAATTTCCAATACTTTCAATATAAATATTCATTAATTTAACTAACCTTAATGTGAACTTTTCTTTCTTCGACGTGAATTGAATCCTATGATAATAGTAATTAAAATGGTAATGTTAATCAAATGAAATAAATATTATAAATAATAAATTTTATAAACATCTAACAAATAAATACCAGTCGATAAATAGTAAATGCGATAGCTGCTAATGCAAGAAAAGTCAATAAAATCCAAGTCCAGTGAAGACTGGTTGAAAACGGATTTTGAAATTGTCCATGTTTATTGTTCGTCCTGGACCGTCCCCCAATCAGCAATTCTTTTTCAGTACCAGAAATTTTAGAATTTTTTGTATCTATTGGAAGCTGTGGAATGCGCTGACGTAGGCTTGGATTCTCCGAAGCATTACTACTACTAGTCCAACCTAAAAATGATTGACGGTAATGGAAAATAATTAGTGAAAATGATTAGTGGAAGTAACTTTCAAAAGATAAATTGAGTTTACCCGGTTTTTGTAAAGGATTTTTATTATTGTCGAATTTGATATCGGAATTTTCTACCGATTTTAATCCATCTAAAGCAACTGTGGAAAAGGATGTTCCACTTTTACTTTCCTGATGTAGGTTTGACTTATTCTTTTGAAATACTGATTGATCAGATTCATTCATTTTATAAGCATTAGGATTTGTTAGTGGTCTTTGTTGTGGTTGCAATGGTTTTAGTAGTTGCTGCGTAGGATTTGTATCATTTCGTGGTCTCATTTGCAAAGATGGCTGTCTATGAGATAGCTGCTGCAAGGGTGGCTGTAATTGTTGTGGAGGTGGTTTACGATGAGGCAATTGTTGCGGAGGTGGTGTTCGATAAAATAATGGAGATGGTTGTTGGTGAGATAGAGGTTGTTGATGAGACGGTGGCTGTTGATGAGATGGTGATTGTTGATGAGATGGTGATTGTTGATGAGATGGTGATTGTTGAGACGGTGATTGTTGATGAGACGATGATTGTTGATGAGACGGTGGTTGTTGATGAGACGGTGGTTGTTGATGAGACGACGGTTGTTGGGGTTGTTGGGAAGACGGCGGTTGTTGGTGAGATGAAAATTGTTGGGGAGACGTCGGTTGTTGGTTTGATAGTGGTTGTTGATGTGATGGTGGTCGAGGCACAAAAATAAACCGTTGATTTTGCTGCGAATGTTCAATATTCACGTTGCCACTATTTCCTAAAAGCTTGTCTCGATTATCATTATTTTCAAGTTTTATCTGTTCACATTTCAACGACAGATTATTGCCATCAATGGTAGATGCTAGGTTACTGCTAGCATTGATAGATGATACATCACTTCCAACATTGTTAGACTCTAAATTATCAAGAACTTTATCGGAAATTGTGATTGTTGAATAATCTATTAATGACGATTGACTACTTGATTTCATTTTTTTTAATTCAGAGGAATTAGCATTGCTGATTTCTTGAGATGTTTGATTAACTTTATTGCTTATTTTTTTTTGATCGTCGATCGTTCTGTTTGTAGTTATATTTTCACCTTTATTATCATGCATTTTTTACTTCCTTTGCTTTAAAGTTTAACTCTTCTTTCAAAGTTACAAATAATAACGAAAAAAAAATCTTTCAAAATTTATTAAGTATAATCGTGGCTTAGATAATACATAGTGAGTTGTCCTATAAACGTTCCGGTTTTGATCTGGTACTATGAATCATAAGGCGATACTTTCTTTTGAAATGATACGTGTCTCATTCAAATACAAAATGTCCAATATCGAGACTTATTCCCAAAATATTATCCAATATTTTAATATTAATACTAATATCTGTCCTAAAGAACATCGTAATGAATTTAAAATTCGATATATTATTATTGTATAAGTATATAAATAATAGGTATATAATAGGCTTTTGAAATCATATGTAATTTAACCGTACACATAATAAATAAGCCAATGGCTTAGCTTGTATTTATAGACTTCCGTTATTTTAGTTATTTTATTAAAATCTGGTGCCTTGTTTGTATTGAAATTAATCATGTGATTTATTTCTATACGAGGATAAAAAAAAATCCCAAAAAGAAGGCGTAAACGCCCGAGGAGGGGCTCGAACCCTCGACATTCAGGTTAAAAGCCTGACGCTCTACCAATTGAGCTACCCGGGCAGTTATAATAATTTTGCCGATTAAAAGCTATTAGAATGTAATCTTATAATTATTCAACTAAAATATTACATAACAATAATTAGCGTTAGGTAATTGCTAATTTTCGATCATTCAAATTTTTTTAGTTTATTATTAATTTACGCCTATTCGTGAGGTCACGTGAACTGAAATATTTTCCACGATAACGATAAAATAAACATTCAAGTTTTATTTAGCAAATAAATATAAAAAAATTCCTAGTTTCTTAAATAAAACCACATACATATAAATATTATTCTAAAAAGTATACGAAACTCAAGATTACGTTTGTAATAACGCTAAAACTTTTCATCCTATATCTACTTGTATTTTAAATCACTTGGAAGGTGTAGTTGCAAATATTTAACTTCTGCTTCCAAATCCTGGATTATATTTTAAATTTTTAATTCGATAATCAAATAATTTAAATAATTTAAAAAAAATTTTTTCCTTACCTTACAGTATTCGTCCAATGGAAGATCGTTCTCATCGTATCCTAAATACAAAAGAGGAATACATCAAAACGCATATCTTTTAGAAGAAATTCATAAAGACATATAATAAGCTTACCAAACGGGTTCTCAATTTCGGAACCTATGATTAAAATTCAAAAATATAAAGTATATGTGAATATATCATAAAGGTACATTTAAAGATTAACATATTGTAAACAATCATTTTGCATACCGACAGCCAAAATACCATAGAAAATAAAAGCTACTAGAATCATAGTAGGAATAGTAAACCAATCAAGGTCAGCAACTATGGTGAACGGAAGAGCAATCACTATAGAAATAGAAAAAATGGTAATTAAAAATATATACGTATTTATGTAATTTAAGACATATAAGGTATAAAATTTATTCTTACTGTATAACACGACGGCTTGTTTCCTATAAAAATAACAAATGTTACGTAAATAACAAGATATAGAGTATATTGCTATATATTACCATATAACAATTTTTATACATAAAAAGTTGTGAAAAAATTTAACATATTAATTCAGTCCCAAATAATTTAGACATGCCATATGGTGATAAATAGACGTTTTCTAAAGAGAGCATAATAGCATAAAAATTAGGAATCAAACTTACAAATGAATATTATAGGCAATTGGGAGAGGAGTGCCTCCAATCCTTTCTAAATTACCCAAAATATCGATCAATTCATCTAATGATGCTGACAAGAAAGAAAATATACTGCTATTCATTCGTTTTCCGTGCTTTTCTTTAGTTAGATTCACGAAATATAAATGTAGATGATAAACAATTTCCTAAAGTTCAAGGAAAAGAAAAAATTGTTTTTTTTTTTTTTTTGTTTTTGTTTTTTTTGTTTTTTTTTTTTTTTTTTTTTTTAGAGAAATGCACATGAATTTCAATAATTTATAAAATGGATAAAATATTTTACCAAAGGTAAACTCATACTCGCATCAGCTTCAACTTCGGAAGTTAACTCTTTTTCATGTTCACGAAGCAATTCTTTCCTCTCCTCTTTCGAAAACTTAAGAATTGATCTAAAAACGGTTGGCGGAATTTTGTTTGATATTGTTCGAATTGAAGTTGGTAATACAGCGAGCAAAGATCTATCTCCAACAGTTTCTTCAACCTGTGCGGCACTACCTTCATAATAGGTCTTTTGAAAGCCTTCAGGAAGAAGATCATCCAAATCATTCCAATGAATTCCAAATTCGAACCGAATATGGTGCTTAACAGCAACTACATATGCCAATAATAGTTTAATACAAGCATCTTTTTCGAGATGATCTTGTTCATTACGTTCTCTGACACCTATCCATATTGAGCGCGTACAATTTCTGACAACAGTACTAAATAAAATATATAATTTAAAAAAATTAGCGTTCGCTAAACGTTAATATAAAAAACGTTACTTTTGATACTAACCACATATTAGTGAATAAATGTCTACCTTCATTATATTGAGTATATGAGTTGTTTGTACGGAAAGCTAAAAGAAGAGCCACTACAACGGAGACGGAAGCGGCTATATGATAAAAAAAATTTTTTTAAATAATAAAATAAAAATAAAATAAAATAAAATAAATAAATATATATTAGATATTTATGAGAAAATCACAAGTAATATAAATTATCATTGATTCGTACTTAAATTGCTGGAAACGGCAACCGCTTTTATGTGGAGTGTCATATAAAGGAAAACGATGAGAACTGTCCATAAACCTGTAAAAAAGAGTAAAGGGACAATATTCCAAAATACAGAGCCTTGAACATCCAATACATCGGGATACCTGTTGTATAGGATGATAACGACCACATTAAAAGTGTATCATATATTATATGTATTTTACTATTTGCTGTAGTTATAAATACCCCCAACCACGTCGATGCGTTATATGTTTCCACAAGTCGCGATATTCTCGCGGATTTTTCATCTCAGGATTGACAGGCATCTTGACTCTTGTTGTCTAGTCTAGTATGAATTGCGTTTACAATATTTGAGAACAACTATTTGAAAAAAAGGTTCCGTTGAATATTTTTTTTTCAAATTTAACTTTAATCACAAACATTTATAACAATTTGTGTTGATTATTATGAAAAAGCCTTTTTGCTTATCTAAATAAATAAAGGTAACTCGTTTCAAATAATATATATATCGATGCGCACCACGTCAACAAAAACTTCTAAGCCGAATTTTTTTGTTTTCTTTTGTTACAGTACAGCCATTAACCAATTTTGTATTAAAAGAACAAATTCATAACATTTTAATGTCATTGGAGTGAAAGCTTTTACATCTCGATTATCGTAATTATTAGATTATTTGTATCTTCTTTTTCTAAACTAATTTCTACTAAATTTTTTATGATTCCGAATATTCCAAAATTACACAATACACTGAGTGTTATCAGTAAATGTCACTGATTGCCAGGCTAATTAACCTCACGATTATAATATTACCTTTGACAACCTTCAAAAGCACAAAGGTCAAACAGACGCAATACAGTTGATACTAAAGAAATTTATGTTGATTTAAGTCTCCATAAATAATAAACAGTGAAATCCAAATAAAAACATAAAAGTGAATCATCAAGAAAGTTAATAGCATTGGAGAGCCTTGTGAATTTTATTTTTGATGCTCTTCCAAAATATTATGATTTGAATGGTTTTTTTTATTGGAAAAAAGAAAAACTTTAAAAATTTTGCACGAACTGGATGAATTAATCATACTTCAAATATTTGAATAATCGTAATTTTAATATATGCTTTCTACTGCAATAAATATTAATTAACTTATTATTCATTGATTTTCATTAATTTTATTTTATTAATGAAACGTTAATAAAATGTTATTTTTTCGTTACTAACATGTGTGGATTATACTGATACAGTTGCATGATTGCTTTATCGTTTTTTTTTTGTATTGTGTCATCTCGATCAAGGTTAAAGCTTCAAGTAACTTCAGGCATGATATATTTAAGAAAGATGTGCGGTTGAATAAGGGAATTGCTACCGACACAGCAAGTGACCAGCACTAACCTTAACGACACAGCATGGCCGGTACTATATTTAAGGTTAGTGTTAGAATGTAGCAGAATTAGGAATTATGTCACGTGTTTGCTGTGCCGGTAGCAATTCCCCTGAATAATATCAATTGTAAAGTATGCACGGGGCACGATGATAAAAAATTAGGTGGATATGCATTGAGTGAACAGTAAATACAAGAGATAAGGATAAGATAATATTTTTAAGACTTACGTGATAATAATAGATAGGCGGCTTTAGAAAATAAGCTTGAGACAACGAATTAAATACAAACGTTTGAATTGTCTACTAAATACAATCGAATTCTTGAAAAAAAACTCTATTAGGTCAAAAGAGTGTGTTTAATTTATGTTGGGATTCACTATAGAAAGTTAAATGATTTATTATTTTGACTTACTGTAAAATGAACATGATAAGGGATCGTTCAACTTTAGAATTAGTATTATTTTTGTTTAAAGCACACAATTAAAGAAAGCTAAGAATTAATTTAGCCGAGTGCGAACAATTTCTTATTTTTTAAAATCCTCAGCTAAGCTAATTCTCGGCTCTTTTTAAAATGGGTACAGTACTTTAAAATAATTCACTGGGGCATTATTTGGGAGCTAACACTTATTACGTAAATATAGCCTGGGTATCCGGAAACCCTTGCTTAATTACCAAATATATAATTGGTTTAACGGCCCATGTGGCGCAATAGCTAACAGTCAACGGTTTTTCTCACAAGATCATGTCATAACGGCCCTGTGTGGCACAGCAACTAACGGTTTAACAGCTATTTTCCTCACAAGAATATAGTTATAACGGCCCATGTGGCGCAACTAACAGGTATGTAATTTTTGTTATAACATGATAGAACTTAACAGAACTTTCTAACATCATCTTTTTGTTTTCAAATCCACAAATGTATCTTCCCGCTGGTAAAATTCAAAAAAACATATGGAGTCGGAATCAACACGTTACAAATGGTCAGATGAAGGAAAGATCAAACATTTGTCCACACCTAACGGCAAATGATTCTACCTTGTTGAAGACATTTTAAGATTGTTTGGAGACCATTGTGGCAGAATAACATAACACGGAGCATGCTTAAGTCGAAATGCAAACTTACGGCGTCATTGATAAATAGAAATAGAAATATATATATGTCGTGCGTCAGATTCGAAGGGGTGTGGAATTAGAATTGAGTTGCGTAAGATCAAAATTTGAATCTAAGATGCGTCAGATCGAAATGCGCATAATAAATGTAGTAATAACGATAATGATAAAATAAATAAGAAATTTTTTTTTCGCTTGAACTAGTTAACGGTTCTTTTCCATCCTTTGCAATAACATATGTGTATTTTACGTCAAACCCAATAATATGGAATATTCATTTATGTCACGGCAAACTTTCGATGATTTAGTTAAAGAATACATTGAAAATTTGGCACCAAATAAAAAAGAAAAAGCGTTAATCGATCAAGAAAAACTACAAAGAATTAAGAAAATTCTTCTTGATCCTATGAATACTACCCAATATACATCTGCTTTTCGTTATTGGGCTAAAAAAAATTTTAAGTTACAACAAATTGGTGATTCCTATATTGTACTTCACATTCGAACACAAAATAAAAAAAATAATGAAAAGGTTAAAATTGAGCTTCCTGTGCTAGTTGTAGAAAACATGTATGATGAATTTTGCAAGATACATGCAACAATTACCCAACATG